ATGCTTTGTCCTGATATATTCTGTGCATCCATTAGCAAGATATGTCCTAAGGTAATTGTTCCTTCACTTTAGGCCATTTCAGCCTACAAAAGGTTTCATAGGACCGCTCTCCTTTTGGACAGTGGAAGAAATCTGTATATTCCATTCTTCATCTGTCTATTCTTATGCTAATACTATGTTGTATTATGCTGATACTGTGGCCTTATTATAAATCTTAGTCATATAGTATTAGCCCTCAAATTTTGTTGTGCTTTTGATTTCAATGATTTTCTCTACAGCATGTTTATTTCACTGCACTCTTTGATCTTTGTTATTTCCTTTCTTCTGTTTACTTTCCATTTAACTTCTTCTTCTTTCTAGTTTATTAAAGTAGACATTGACATCACTGATTTAAGGCCTTTCTGCTTTTCACTTATGTAGGCATTTAGTGCTATAAATTTCCCCCTACCTACTGCTTTAGCAGCATTCTACAAATTCTGGTATGTTGCGTTTTCCTTTTAATTCAGTTTAAAAAACTTAAAAAGAAACTCATAATCTCCTCTTTGATCCAGGGGTTATTTAGAAGTGTGTTATTTAACTTTAAAATACGTTGGATTTTCAAAATATCTGTTACTAACATCTATATTAATTCCATTATGGTAAAAAAACAATCTGAATGATTTGAATACTTATGAATTTATTGAGACATGTTCTATGTTCCAGAATATGGTCTTTCTTGGTAAATATTCTGTGCACACGTGAGAATAATTTGTATTCTGCTACTGTTGGATCACATGGCCTATAAATGTCAATCAGGTCAGGTTCGTTGATAGTGCTATTCAAATGTACTATAACCTTGATGATTTCTGCCTACCTGTTATATCAACTGAGAGAATAGTTTTTGTCTATTTCTCCTTATACTTCTATCAGTTTTTGTTTCATGTATTTTGAAGATCTGTTATCAGGGTATAAACAGAAATGTTTATAGTCGTTTTATGTCCTCTTCATTAACTGATCCTTTTATCACTATGAAATAAACTTCTTTATCTCTGGTAATATGCTTTCCTTTGAAATCTACTTTGATATTAAAACAACAGTTCTAACTTGGTTTTGATTAGTACTAGTATGGTATATCTTTACATTTAAAGTATGTTTCTTGGGGTTAGCATACACTTGAGTTTTGCTTTTTTAGGCAATCTGACAATCTCTGCCTTTTAATTGGGGTGTTTAGACCATTTATAGTACCACGTCTTGGTATCTGTCCCATCTGTTTTTTGTTACCTGTTATCTTTTCCTGCCTTCCTTAAGATTATGATTTGTTTCAATTGTATCCCCTTTGTTGCTTTATAAACTAAATGTCTTTGTCATTTTAGCAGTGGCTTTATAGTTTATAGTTGTGGGAGGCTGAACAGTGTCCCCAAGATATCAATATCCTAATCCCTGGAATGTGTGAATGGGAATATACAGTTGTGATTAAGCCAAGGATCCTGAGATGAGGGGACTATCCTGGAACATCCATGTGGACCCAGAATGTAACCATGAGTGTCACTGTAAGAGAAAAGAAGAGGAAGATTTGACAGAGACAAAAAAAGATAAGGCCATGTGACCAAAGGCAGAGACAGGAGTGACATGGTCACAAGCCCAGAAATGCTGGCAGCGAGCAGAAGCTGAAGGAGGCAAGAAATGGATCTCCCTTAGTGTCTCTGGAGCTAGTACAACCCTGCTGAAACCTCGATTTTGCCCTAGCAATAGTTTTTGGATTTCTGGCCTCCAAAACTGTGAGGGAAATTTTTCCTATTGTTTTAAGCTGCCAAATTTGTGGTAATTTGTTACAGCAGGCAACAGAAAGTAATAGGATAGTATGTATCTTTGATTTATCACAGTCTAGCTTTAATTGTTATTATAACACTTCACATATACTGTCAGAATCTTACATTATACTTCTTTGCTCTACTCTTTTGGCCTTTATACAGCTGTTGTTATCATGTATTTTGCTTCTACATAGGTTAAAAATCCCAAAATACAATGTTATAATTTTTGATTAAACAATTATCATCTAAAATTACTTTGGTAACAGAAAAAAAAATTTTATTTATCCAGGCAATTTCCATTTCTGATGCTCTTCATTTCTTTGTTTAGATTCAGAGGTCCAACTGGTATTATTTCCCTTCTATCTGTAGCATGCACTTTAACATTTATTATAGTCCAGGCCTGAAAATGTCTTAGTTTCACTATTTTTTAAAATATATTTTTGCTGATTATAGAATTCTAGGTTAATATTTCTTTCTTTCAATCCTTTAAAAATGTTGCTGTGGGCTTCCCTGGTGGCGCAGTGGTTGAGAGTCTGCCTGCCGATGCAGGGGACATGTCGGGCTCGTGCCCCGGTCCGGGAGGATCCCATGTGCTGCGGAGCGGCTGGGCCCATGAGCCGTGGCCGCTGGGCCTGCGTGTCCGGAGCCTGTGCTCCGCAGCGGGAGAGGCCACAACAGTGAGAGGCCCGCATACCACACACACACACAAAAAATGTTGCTGTATTATCATTTCACTTGTACTGTTTCCAGTGAGAAACCTGATTTCACCCTTATCTCTGTGCCTCTAAATATTACATCTTTTTTTTCACTGCCAGTTTAAGATTTTTTATCACTGGCTTTGAGCAATTTGATTATCATGTGCTTTGGTGTTTTCTTCATGTTTCATGTGCTTGTAGTTCACTGAACTTCCTCGATCCGTGGATTTAATGTTTTCATCAAGTTCAGAAAGTATTTACTTTTTTCTTCCCATCCCCTCCTTTGAGGACACCAGATATCTGTACAGTAAGCTACTTCAAGCTGTTTTTCAGTTTAGGAATTCATTTTTCTATGTTCATATTTTGAATAGTTTCTACTGCTAATGCCTTCAAGTTCATTAATCTTTCCTTCTGCAATGTTTAATCTGTTGTTCATGCCATCCAGTGTATTTTTCATTTCAAATATAGTTCATTCTCAAGAAGTTCAATTTGGGTCTTTTATATCTTCCATATCTCTATTTAACTTCTGAACAAATGGAGTGGTTATAAAAACTGTCTTAAATATTCTCTCGTAATTCTCACATGAGAATCCAGTTGTTTTTTTTTAAGCCATACAAAGATTTCCAAAAACGCAAACAGTACAAGTTTTCCCATCAAATATTATTTTGCTTTAGAGAAAGTTACTATTCATTGAAATGTTATTTATGTTAATATGCAATAGGTTATTATAAGTGAACTAATTTTTAAAATTTGTTTCAATTTCTAATTCAGAAAATACCAATAGATATAACAGTTCTTGCTCAATTTAAATTGACTAATTACTCTCCTCAGTATTGGTTATATCTTCCTGCCCCTTTGCATGCCAATTCATCTTTGACTGAACAACAGACATTGTAAACTTAACTTTGTTGGGTGCTGGATATTTTTGTAATCTTATAAATTTTCTTGAGCTCTGCTCTGGGATGCAGTTAGGTTACCTGGAAACAATTTGATCCTTTCAGGTCTTGCCTTTATTTGTTAGATGGGTCTGGAGCAGTGTCCAGTCTAGGACTAACTGTTCCCCACTAGTGAGGCAAAAATTTCCTGAGTACTTCACCCAGTGTCCCATGGATTACAAGTTTCTCCACTATAGTGGTACGAACTGACACTATACTGGCACCAGGCACCACTCTCTCTAATCCTTTCAGATGGTTATTCTCCCAACCTCAGGTAGGTTTCTTCACGTGCATGCCCTACTCAGTACTCTGCTGATATTTGAAGAGAACTCTCTACAAATCTCTGGAGTTCTTTGTGCAGCTCTCTCCTCTGATGTTCTGTCCACTGCACTCTAGGTGCGCTGGTTTTCCTAGACACTCAGCACTGTCTCCTCAACTCAAGGAGTCAGCCAGACTCTTGCAGTCTGCCTCCACGTGTTACAGCCTGAAAACTTTCTCAAGGTTAAGCGAGGCAATCATAGATCTGATTTATTTATTTCTTGTCTCTAGGGACTGTTTTCATTTGTTGTCTCATGTCCAGTGTCTAGGAAATGTTATTTTTCTTTTCAGTTGTTGCAGAAGAAACGGTTACTTCCATTACTCCATCATAACTGGAAGCAGACATCTCAAACCAAACCAACAGATTTTAGTGTAACAGAGTGAAATAAATTCACTGATATGGTTCCAGATTTCATATTGCAAATTACATTTAAGAAACAACCACTTGTTCAATTTTGGGGTAAAATCAAAGATAATTCACTGTTATCTAAAACTGCTTTTTAAAGTGTTCCTCCCTAACAAAAAGATTAATGGTTGTCAGGGACTGGGTGGGGAGGGGAAAGGGAAGTGACTGCTAATGAGTACAGCGTTGCTCTGTGGGGTGATGGAATGTTTTGAAATTAGATATTGGTGATAGCTGTATAATTCAGTGAATATACTAAATTCTACTGAATTGTACACTTATTTATAAGGTGAATTTTATGGTATGTGAATTGTATCTCATATAAAAAAAAAAACTTTTCCCAACTACATATGAAATCCAAAATCCCTGAGGCCAGATTTTATACATATACTTCAACCAAAACAACTTATTACAGTAAATTGAAAAGCCATACATCAAGAGATTTTTTTTAAAACACAAAACAATAAGTTTTCTCACCAAGTATTATTTTGCTTTAGAAAAAGTTATTCAAGAAAATGTTATTTATGTTAATATGTAATAGGCTTATTATTACTTTAAACTGAATTAATAAAAATTTAAAATTTTTTCTGTTTCAATTTCTAATTCAGAAAATATCAATAGATAAAACCCACATAAAGAAACACTCTTTGGGATTCCCAATAAAATTTAATAAGAGTATAAAGAGTCCTGAGGCCACATAATTTGAGAACTGTCAGTCTATGCCATCATACTATGCCAGGGATTCCATACTAGTATACATCTTAACAGATATAATGAAGTAATTAACAAAAGTAGTTAATAAAAAATGCTAAGGTATGTAAACACACACTAAAGTTTGTTACTTAATTGCATGTCTTACTTGGAAGTTTCTGGCAAGCCAGCTGAGAGTTCCAGAAACACAGATAAGTAGTAACCACGAACAACTCCATTTCCATCCTTAAAAAAAAAAGAAAAAGATGTTAAACAAACTCCAAATCAATTTAAATGTAAAAATTTAAGCCACAATGAAACAAACAAAATACAGATATCTGGATGCCAAAGTAGTTTTAAGCTTAAAAACAATAAGAGATAATAAAAAGACCAAGAGGTCTGAATCTATAACAATTTAAAACTTTTGCAATTAAAAAAATATATTAAAGCATACAAACTAAAGAAAATATCAACTACTATGAAAAGAGTTAAGAGTTTTAACACATACAGAACTCTTAAAAATGAGCCTCCGAGAAAAATCAAAACCCCAAAGAAAAACGCCAAAAAAAGAAAAGCCTCAATTTCACTAGGAATGAGACAAAAAAAAAAAAAAAAAAAAAAAAAAAAAAAATCAAAATATAAGATCAAAAGAGAGTAAAATAGAAAAAGGTAACACTTGATTGATGTTCAAAGTAATTAAATATAATTTCTATGTTTTTTTTTTTTTTGCGGTACGCGGGCCTCTCACTGCTACGGCCTCTCCCATTGCGGAGCACAGGCTCTGGACGTGCAGGCTCAGCGGCCATGGCTCACAGGCCCAGCTGCTCCGCGGCATGTGGGATCTTCCCAGACCAGGACACGAACCCGCAATTTCTGTGTTTTATATGTTAGGATTCCACATAAGATTCTGTCTGGAGATTGAAAAGCTGTTTAAATTTCTGTTACAGAGATTTTTATGAGTACAATTATTCCCCTCTGTATTTCTCCAGTACTGTGTGAGAAGATTATATTTGTTATAATTATGTGTATAAAGATCTGTTTCCCCAACTAGAATATGAGGGCTGAGGGCAGGAATATGTCTATAGAGGGGTACATGTACTTCTTAACCCCTTCATGTCTAGGCTACTTTGCTCCAAAAGGTCCTGAGGCAGCTTTCAGGGTTTGACATGGTAATCACTCAATAAATACTAAGAATAAATGAATCATCACTTAAGTGAAAAAAGCTGGACACAAAAGATTATATGTTGTATAATCCTACTATATGAAATTCTGGAAAAGCAAAGCTATAGTAACAAAAACAGATCAGTGGTTGCAGAGAGGCCAGGAAAGGAGAAAAAAGGATTATCTGAAAAGGATAAATTACGTAACTTCTGAGGGTGATAAAATTCATGATTGTGACAATGCTTATACAACTATATATATTTGTGAAAACTTGCTAAAATTAGTGAATATTACTGAACATAAATTATATAGCAAATTACACTGATTTTTAAAAATCAACCAATATCCTTGTTCAAATAGCTGGGTTTTTTTTCTTCTTTTAAATTATCCTCCTAAAACGATTTCCCTGGAATGAAATCAATTAATAAAAGATAATGAACATTTTTCACTCCTAATTTTAACAGATAATAAGATTAGAAATTTCTTTGACTTAATTTTTATCATAATCTTTTTATTTTTAAAATAAATTTATTTATTTATTTATTTTCGGCTACGTTGGGTCTGCGTTGCTGCGCGCAGGCTTTCTCTAGTTGCGGCGAGTGGGGGCTACTCTTCATTGCGGTGCACAGGCTTCTCATTGCAGTGGCTTCTCGTTGCGAAGCATGGGCTCTAGGTGCACGGGCTAGTATTTGTGGCACGAAGGCCTCAGCAGTTGTGGCACATGGGCTTAGTTGCTCCGTGGCATGTGGGATCTTCCTGGACCAGGGCTCAAACCCATGTCCCCTGCACTGGCAAGCAGATTCTTAACCACTGCGCCATCAGGGAAGCCCTATCATAATCTTAAGGAACAAAATTTTTACTACTTTTATTGACATGCCACCTGTACCTCTAACAAAATACTAGCTTTAAGAATTTTCTTTTCTTTTCTTTATTTATTTATTTTTGGCTGCGTTGGGTCTTCGTTGCTGCATGTGGGCTTTCTCTAGTTGCGGTGAGCGGGGGCTACTCTTTGTTGCAGTGTGCAGACTTCTCATTGTGGTGGCTTCTCTTGCTGTGGAGCACGGGCTCTAGGTACACGGGCTTCAGTAGCTGTGGCACGCGGGCTCAGTAGTTGTGGTGCATGGGCTCTAGAGCACAGGCTCAGTAGTTATGGCGCACAGGCTTAGTTGCTCCATGGTGTGTGGGATCTTCCCGGACAAGGGCTTGAACCCATGTCCCCTGCATTGGCAGGTGGATTCTTAACCACTGCACCACCAGGGAAGTCCCTAGCTTTAAGAATTTCAATAGGCAGAGGATTCTGGAAAGACTGCCAAAATGGCAGCACAGTTTTTACAACTCTCTAAATCCAAACATAAAACAAAACAAAACAACAAAACCAAAAGCTCACAAACAACATTTATAACAAAATTAAATGACAGGTTATCTCCACAACCCCCAAAACACAAGCAGGTAAAGACATACCAATTATAACCACAAAGACCTGCATGATATCAACAGTGTGGGAGAAAGGAAAGAAAAGCAATGGGACATCTAATGGACCAGAAAGAAGGAAAACCACAAAATGGACAAAAGTTAGTCACTGAAAAGCATCCCAAGCTACATATGACAGCTGAAACTGAAAAAGTTGCTCAATATAATACCAACTGAGTATAAGGGGGCCTAATATAAAAAAGTCTGAAAACTAAATGCAGTCTAGTCACTCTGAACTCTTAAAAACGAATATGTACGGCCTTTTAGGACAGGTCCAAAGACTGCAAAGGAAATGCTAGGAGGAAAGTAAAAGATAAACAGCATAGAAATAATACAAACAAAGGAAGGAAAAGGTCCAGATGAGAAGGGGAGAAGAACGAGGAAATCTCTCAGAAAGCAAGGCACCAGATTTCTGATTGTTATCACACTGGCTGGCTATCCACATGCAAAAGAATGACGCTGGACCCCTACATCATAAAAAAATTAATGCAAAATAGATCAAAGATCTAAATATAAGTCCTAAAACTATAAAACCTTAGAAGAAAACATAGGGGAAAAGCTCCATGACATTGGAGTTGGTAAGGATTTCCTGGATATGAAACCAAAAGCAAAAATAGACAAACTGGACAACAACAAAATTAAGAACTTCTGTGCATCAAAGGACACAATCAACAGAGTAAAAAGAAACCTTACAGAACAGGAGAAAATACATGTATATCAGGTATCTAATAAGGGGGTCAATGTCCAGAATATATAAACTCCTACAACTCAACAAAAAACTTGATTAAAAAATAGGCAAAGGACTTGAATACACATTTCTCTAAACAGGATATACAAATGGCCATGAATAAGCACATAAAAAGATGCTCAACAACATTAATCATTAGGGAAGTGCAAATCAAAACCACAATGAATTACCTCACACCCATCAGGATGGCTACTATCAAAGAAACAGAAAACAAAAAGTATTGACAAAGATATGGAAAAATCGGAACCTTGTGCATTGTTGGTGGGAATGTAAAATGGTGCAACCATCGTAGATAACAATATGGTTCCTCAAAAAACTAAAAACAGAATTACCGTATGATCCAGCAATAGTATTTCTGGGCATATATCTGAAAGAATCAAAAGCAGGATATTGAAGAGATATTTGCACACCCATGTTCACAGCAGCATTAGTCACTATAACCAACAGGTAGAAACAACCCAAGTGTCCACTGACAGATGAACGAATAAACAAAATGTGGTATATACAAACAATGGAATATTATTCAGCCTCAAAAAGGAAGGAAATTCTGACACATGCTACAAAGTGGAGGAACCTTAAAAACATTATGCTAAGTAAAAGAAGGCAGTAACAAGAAGATGTTACTGTGTTACGATTCCACATATATGAAGTATCTAGAGTAGTCAAATTCATAGAGAAAGTAGAATGGTGGTTGCCAGGGGCTGAGGAGAGGGGGAAATGGGGAATTACTGTTTAACAGGCAGAGAGCTTCAGTTTTGCAAGTTGAAAGAGTTCTGGAAGTTGGTTACAAAACAATGTAAATATACTTAACAATACTAAATGTACACTTAGAAATGATAAAAATGGTAAATTTTATGTTATGCATCACTTACCAAAATTTAAAAAAATTTAGAAAAGAGAAAATAAAGAGCATAACATCCCTACAGACAATGAAAGCACGCTAGAAAAACATACTCAAAGACCAAAATTGTAACCATTTCAAAAGAACCTTATAGACACTAAGAAAATAATATGACGGCCCACAGGAGGAAAAAAAAAATAAGAAAATAATATGATATGAAAGAATAACACAAATCAGAAAATAACACAAAACTCAGAAATCAGGTAATAGGACTAAGGAAAGAGAAATAAAAGGAAAAGTTATTTAACAAATAAAGACTGAACTAAAAGGAACACAAGAGCAAATAAGCACAACAGTTTATATCTTTCAAAAAATAAGTGAACAAAAGACAATTTTAAAAATTAAAAAGAAATGAAGAAAAAGCTGAAAAGTTCAGAGAGAAAGTGGTAAATTGAAGACAGGCAAGGAAGATGCAAAATGAAGATAATACAAGTCCCAAGAGAGAAAACCAAAGATAGAAACAAAGTAAATATTTAAAACTATAATTCAGGAAACGTTTTCTTTAAAAAGTCTGAAACTACATATTGAAAGAGCCCAGCATGTAACTGAGAATACTGACCGAGAACAACCAAAACATATAGTAGAAAATTATTGGACTTAAAAAGAATTAGATTATTTGGGCATCTAGACAATATTAGCAAATGCCTTTTAAGGATCAGTTTATCATCAGACTTTACCAAAAGAAAATGGAGTTGAATATTTAAGATACCCAATGAAAGAAAACATGAGCCAAGAATTTTGCATCCAGCAATACTGGTTTTAGCTTATAAAAGATACAAACTATTTTCAACACACAAAAATTCAGGAAATATTGCTTCCATTAGCCCTTCCAGTAGAATTTACTAGAGAACAAGCTTTGAACACCCTAACTGTTGTCCAGACATGGCATAGTGAAATGTGGAGAGTATATTTCCAAATAAAATTTTAAACATTTCTCAGTAATCAAATCGATGATGGAATTATAGTTCCCCTTCTGAGATTTTTGTGTTTGTAAGGTGAAATAAGGCAAATAAGTGACTGATTATGAGATTATAATTCTATCATTTCCTATGGCTTCAAAAAGTAGGATTCCTAGAATAGAAGAAAGGAGATACAGGTGTAATGTAAAGAGATTATGTTTAAAAAACTCTATAATCCTTAATTTGAATTGTAAACATGAGCATTAACTCAGGAGTTATTTTATCTCTAAAAAATACATACATACATGTGACACCCCGATATTCTACAATTATATAGCAATTTTAAAGTGTTCATAAATATTTTTTCTCTATTAAGATCGCTGGAGTTTTTCCACTTCACTTTTCAGCTTATAAATTTTTAAATACATACATACATACATACATACATATTAATCCCTCCCCCTTCCCAAACCCCCACATACATTTGCCTATGTAATTCCCTAGTTCTGTTCATGAAGCAAGCCTAGAAACAGTGACTAACCTGGTAGAAATGAGCACCCTTAACGCCCAGTTTGGTCTTGAAATACAATTTTCCCACTAAAAGAAATCAGGGCTTTTTGGATAAAATGACCAATTTCAGGTACAGAGTAGGAAATGTACAAGATGAGACTAGAACATCTTGCCTCGGAAGAGGACAAGAAAGCTAACTACTAGAGTCACTACTAGACTATTAGGGTCAGAGCAAAGTGACACAGAAGCCAACTTAAAGAGACTAAATATGTATAAATCCATGAGTTCATAATGATATATATTTTTAAAACCTAGTTAATTACTTTCAGAGAATAAGGAAAATCACTAAATAACAGGAAAGAGTCTTGCCTATTCTATATGAACTGTAATACTGGATAACCAAACAATAGGTAAAGGTAAGCATCTCTTTATAAAAGCATTACACATAATAAGCAAAAAAGAAACAAAATGAGAATCACTATTCTGCAACTTCCAGTGAATTAACAGATGTAGGCAACGTGCATCAATATGACAAAAAGATGCAACTAGATATGATGTGATAAAAGCACACACTACTGCTTATATTCTTGCCATAGGAATTGACTATGCAGCTCATCATACCACTGGGTCCAGCTGCCAATATGCAGCAAATCTACAGGTCAAAGAAACATACTGGAATGCACCATGAGTATGCAGTCAGCACACACATGTTTCTGATGACCATCTGTAAATGTATTTTTTTTAATGATTTTTAAAATAAGAATTTTAAACATTTCTTCTAAATGTTAGTGAAATAAGATTCAGTAATATGCTAGTGTTTACACTGTTTATATTTAACTCATTTTTTTCACAGGTTTAGCAACATACCCTATAAAGAAACAGAAAATTGTCATTACTTTAATTCCTTTCTCCACTAAAAAAGTGAACCAGTGTACTATAGAACCCTAAAAGAAAGATCTTGGTTTCAAAATTTATTAGAAATAATGAAAAACTTACTGGGTAAACTTTTAACCTCCAACAAAGTCCTGAAACTTGAAGAGGTGGACTGTAAACAGGATCTGCTCTCTGGCGCAAAGTACTAAAGTAAAAGAAAACCAACTGAATCCCAAGATCAAAACTGTTGGGAAATAGCAAACAGGCAAAAACAAAACCCAACCACTTCATGTTACTTATTTGAAGTCCTGGACCAGTAAATGAAGGTGACTGAAGAAGTCAAGATTCCACTGTATAAATTTATATATACTAACATTCTGAAATAAAGGAAACTTTAATGATACAGAAACATTCAGCAGTATCTTTTAAGTTTCAGGTTAAAAAAAAACCCTCAAAATTTTGTCATTTAAGGGAAAAGAAAAATATAACTAAGTGCTTTGAATCTAATTACCACTTCAACAAACAGTCTTCCACCGTTAAAGGAAAAAAAAAGTTTCTTCCTCACATCCCCACAGCATAATTATCCTTTTTTAATATAGAAAAAAAATGTGGGGTAATCCTCGGTTTATATTTTAGCCACAAAATTATCCCATAAGAAAAAACAAATGAAATGGGGAGTGGTATAAATTCTCAGTTTGGCCTTAGTTTGATGGTTATCACCTCTTGGGATTTTCTCTTCCCAAGGCAAGACCTTTTATATTCTTCATTCCTCACTTCCATGCTGCCCTTTAATACAAGTCCCTTAGGACCTCTGTGTTTTAATATCTTGGCTTCTAATCTTAGAGAAGAAGCTGTAAAAGCTAACAAACTTAGCATGCAAGTTACAAAGCTTACAAATTTCTTACAATAATACCCTCCCATCCACAATTTCTTACTTCCCACCACTCTTATTTCTGAGGATGGGTAGGAGGGCTCATTGATCTCTATCATCCCATTCACCTCACCTTACTAGCAAAGGCTAAGTAGACCCTCTTCTTTAAAAAAAAAAAAAAAAAATTTCCATTCCCCACCCTACAGGAGCAATCCATCTAGAAGATATAAAACAATCCAGACAAATGACCTCTATATATCTAATATAAAACTTGTTTCTTCTAAGACTACACACTGAGTGACAAAGTTCATTAGGTCTGTATGCTACCCAGGAACGACACCTACCTGGCTCTTACTTACGTACACATACAAAAAAACACTAAAGTTGTCAAAAACTCTTACCTGAAATTCTCTAAAACAAAAGTAGCTGAATCATAAGATGGTACCAATTCACTAAAAAGAAACAAAAGAGAAAAAAAATTATTTGGCTTATACAAGTTTAACATTTCATTTAATTAAGAAACAAAGTCAGACTTCCCTGGTGGTGCAGTGGTTAACAATCTGCCTCCCAATGCAAGAGACACGGGTTCGATCCCTGGTTGGGGAAGATCCCACATGCCAAGGAGCAACTAAGCCTATGAAACACAACTACTGAAGCCTGCGTGCCCTAGAGCCTGCACAGCAACTACTGAGCCCACACGCCGCAACTACTGAAGCCCGCACGCTACAACTACTGAAGCCCGCGCTCCTAGAGCCCATGCTCCACAACGAGAAGCAACGAAGACTAGCCCCCACTTGCCACAACTAGAGAAAGCCCTCATTCAGCAATGAAGACCCAAGGCAGCCCCCCAAAATAAATAACTCTTGATTAAAAAAAGAAACAAAGTTAAGTCTCTCAGTAATATCTTGCAAATTTTATTAAACTAAAATAAGGCCTTACGAAATATTTTTAAAACTGTATTAAACAATATTAAATCAAATGAATTCATAAAACCATCAAAAGCTGACATCAAAGGTTTGCAATTGAATTGGAGACTCAACAAATACTTTATAATATAGCTTTTTTATAAAAAAGGCAATATATGATTATTAAAATAACTGTAAGAGATATTTAAAAACTAATATGGAAATAGGAAAAGAAAGAAATTAGGTGCTTAGGCTGGACACCTGAAATAGAAAACATATAAACTGTTTTAAAAAATCAAAAGAAACAACAAAAGGATAAAATATTACAATAAATCCCCAAACTTCCTTCTTCGGAACAAATTATGAGGAATATTGACAGACCCTAAATACTTTGAGACTATTTACTAGCAAATAAATCTAAACAATTTTATAGGATAAGGATACATAATCACATAGGGGTCAAGCAGGATAAGCACATTAACAGTTTCATGGCAAGGCAAGATTACCTAGGGAACTTTAGTTCCATACAGTCTTCTCCAAAGAGAACTAAATTACATCCAAGAACTAAACTACATCTTCAAAGAGAACTAAACTACACCCACAGCACGCTAATAGTCTCTAGCACTGTCATTAGAACACCTCAAAAGTCAGAGATAGTAGAACATTTATGATAAAGACACTATCATAGTGTTGTAATACAGTGTAATATATTTAATATATAAAATTATAAATTTACCAAAAAGATAAGCTGCAAGCCATTTCACCACATATTCAGCTATATTTTCTAAAGTTCAATTCATGAAAATGTGTTATTACCAAAATAAGACATAAAATGCATCTAAAGCATTTTCACAGTGACAGTACCTGAAGAAATTAGTGGTTTGCCAGTGAAAATATAGTATACATTATTAAAAATACATCAGTCTTATTTTATGGTTAAGTATATGTAGCTAAACAGCTCACATCTTTTTCACAAGTAGATGTGGCTTGCCTTGCAACTATTAACTGTAGAGCTATTATCCAATTGTCAAGCACCCCTAACCATAGCCCTAGGCAGTAGTTACCTTTTCTCACATTCCTCATTCCTAGATCCTTTTGTCTGGTTAATCCTTACTATTCCTTCAGATAACAAATTAGAAGTCACATACCTTTGGAGGGCTGCTCTAACTTCTCCCCACAATATGCTCTCTTAGCGTTCAATATACACAAAACTCTAATTATCAGAACCAATGCAATTAATGCCTGGGAAGCCTTCCTGGAACCAAAAACCTAATCAGAGCTCCAAGGAATCTCTCCAGGATAGTCTTCAAATTTGGTCAAGTTATAACATGCTTTTGGCTATAATTTTGTGCAACTTCCAACTGCACAAACGTTGTTCAGTTCTCCCACTTAACATCTTTCAAAATGTCTACAGACATTATGTAGGCAATCCCCAGTTGCCTGCTGATCTTCATACTGTTTCTTCCACCATGTCCTTAATACCCGGTGTGATATATTTCCTTTGTTGTTATAGCTGTTTTTGTTCTAAGACCAGACTATCATTGTCATATTTTTAATCAGCTCTTGAGGGCCAAAGAGCTCACCAAGACACAAAATAAACAGAAGATGAAGAGGACATGTTTAACTTAGAACAGCGAGATAGAAAGCTTACACGTTAAATCATACAGGTAGCTAAAGCTTACTAACCAAGAGGGTACAGTATGGCTCTCACTTGCTGAGAATAAATGTTAACATTCAGAGCACAGAAAACAATTATCAATCCTACTGTGACATACTCCTACATATGTATAATTTTTTAGCCAAAACTTTTCAGACACAAAAAACATTATAATAAATTAGTGCTATGGGGAAGCATTAAAACAAGATACATATACTTCCCCTATCACCAGTCATCACATTTTATTTTATTACTGCTTCAATCACCTATCTTTTTCACTAAATCATAATATGAGGAAACAAGAACACTCTATTGTGCTCTCTACTTGTAACTGGCACATGCCTGGAACATAGCTGGCATTCAAATATTCACTGAATGAATGGATATTTACAAATATTTGCTGGAAAATTCTTGTAATTTGGTAGAAGTATTTACTCAAAATTTCTTTTGCATTCTTTACATATATACACAAAGCCACAACGACCGCTAAGCCATCTAATTCTATCAATTCTACCATCCTTAAGTATTTATTAACATCTCCACATTATGCTCACTTGTTCAGAGGTTATCTATAATCATACTGGTGTTACCACTCTGTGTCTGCAAATAAGGCACAGCTTTATGTTCTCAAACTTTTTATTTCTATACCTCTTTTACTCTGGTCTTTATGATGACTGGATTCATCTCATGATGGTGTCAGTGAAGCTTCACGGAATATGGAGAGGCTAGCCTCAAAACATCTCTAGCCCAGTATTCTGAAAAATACTGATTTGCAAATCTTTAGACCAGAGACTTCATCATGACTTAATGAATGAATGGAAGAAAAATAGGATAAGTATCCATTGTTCCCTTGAGAAAACAGACTGGTCAGCTACATAAAAACTGGTTTTCCATCCCAACTTGACCATTCTCCCAGAAACCAAAACTCTTTATGGACTGAGAACTGTACTTTTCTGCTACTTAAGTCCACCCTGAGAGACTTAAATGCCCCAACAATACAGCCCTTCAAATTCTGGTTGAAATGAGTTCTCTGCTGACTTCCAAATATAGCAGCTCTTATCACATCCCCATATTTTTGTTCATGTATACATATCCTATTCTCATCTGCCTAATGAAATTCTAAGTATCTTTCAAGGTCTTCCACAATTCCTTTCTAGGCTATGAAGTCATCTTTACCACAGCAGTCTACCCTGACTTCTCAGAATTTCTGATGTAACTGAGTAACAAATATTCAATTTTAATATACAATTCTCTACCATTTCATGTGGAATATATATCCAGTAAGATTACTTCCTCTTCCATGTCTCCTATGCAGGACTTACAACAGTGCTGAGCACATAGATGACCTTTAATAAATAACATTACTTTGTTTAATGACCTTTTATTCACCATTGTGGCTCTATCACAAATCAACCGATGGGATATAAAGTACTCAGTTCCATGATCTCAAAGCTTAGAAACAATCACCGCTGCTTTGAACATCTAAACTTTGGTCTGTAATTTAATGTCCATAAATGCTAGCCTTTCTTTCTTCTTTTTATGTATGTATGTATGTATGTATGTATTTATTTAATAATAAATAAAAAAAGACTGCGTTGGGTCTTCCTTACTTCACGCGGGCTTTCTCTAGTTGCCACAAGCGGGGGCTACTCTTCATTGCAGTGCCCGGGCTTCTCATTGCAGTGGCTTCTCTTGTTGTGGAGCGTGGGCTCTAGGTGCACGGGCTTCAGTAGTTGTGGCTCCCAGGCTCAGTAGTTGTGGCGCACGGGCTTAGTTGCTCCGCGGCACGTGGGATCTTCCCGGACCAGGGCTCGAACCCGTGTCCCCTACACTGGCAGGCAGATTCTTAACCACTGAGCCACCAGGGAAGCCCCTAACCTTTCTTATTTGGCCCTCTTTTCTTTGCTGATCAATGAATCAATAGATGGAACAACTGCTTCCTCTATACTGCAAATCATAAACTAAGTTTCTAATAAAAATTACAGTTAAGTTATAAGGCAAGTTTTCCAGTAAGACAGTAAGGTTTACTAGAGAGGGAGAGGGCCCTAAGGTGACCTTTTCCCAGGGAAATCTCCTTAATTATCAGACTTTTTTCTTTATTTTTTGGTGTTTTTTTTCTTTATTGATGTGCCTCCTACCTCCCCCATCCCAACCCCAGTTTCAGTCCCTTCCATCTATACCCAAAAAAGAAGGCAGTGAAAGGAAGGTATTATTGGGGTTCTGAGTCCCTTGGGCAATTAGAAAGGAAAAAGAAATCAAAATAGGGACTTCCCTGGTGGCGCAGTGGTTAAGAATCGGCCTGCCAATGCAGGGGACATGATTCGAGCTCTGGTCTGGGAAGATCCCACATGCCGTGGAGCAACTAAGCCCATGCACCACAACTACTGAGCCTGCGTTCTAGAGCCCACGAGCCACAACTACTGAGCCTGCGTGCCATGACGACTGAAGCCCGCACACCTAGAGCCCAAGCTCCACAAGAGAAGCTACCACAATGAGAAGCCCACGCACTGCAACGAAGAGTAGTCCCCGCTCGCCGCAATTAGAGAAAGCCCACACACAGCAACGAAGACCCAACACAGCCAAAAATAATAATAATAATAAATAAATTTTTTAAAAAAGAAATCAAAATAATCACTGGATGTGACAGAGACTGACACTCAAGAAGTCAAGCAGAGGGACTTCCCTGGTGGTCCAGTGGATAAGACTCCTCGCTCCCAATGCAGGGTGTCCAGGTTTGTTCCCTGGTCAACTAGATCCCCACATGCCGCAACTGAAGATCCCACATGCCATAACGAAGATCCCACATGCAGCAACTAAGACCTGGTGCAGTCAAATAAATAAATAAATATTTTTTTTAAAAAAAGAAGTCAAGCAGAGTTGCTTGCCTGATAACCTGTTGCAAGTAGTATCAATATAGGAGTTTACCTCTATCAATGGTACTCAAACTTTACTGCAGAGTTACTTGAGGTGCTCAAGATTCATTTTCTAGAAATCATCTCCAAAGACTGTCAGGGAACAGGCCTGAGAATTTTCATTTTGGAACAACACTCCTGCTGGCTCTGATACAGGAGATCCATGTACCCTATTTTGAATTGTAAAACCCTTATCTTCATATATGGTATTTATATCAAAACTCGTTTCATTCCACTGGTGATGGATAGAGTAATTCAGAAAAGGTATCTTCAAAACTGAAATGGCTGACCACACTAACCAAGAGGCAGCCTTGGAATATTAATGAATATCCTTAGTTGACTCAAATCTATTTAACAAAAGCAAATACCCAGCCCTTTTATTAATATTCAGTGCTTCAATAAAATATAAATATTGTATCTGGCTTGTTAATTCACAAAGAAATGAAGACTTACCTTATTGGTCAGGGAGAACTACCTGAGTTCTAGTTGTTAGCAATAGCTTTCTTTTGAAACAAGTATATGCATTTGCACATAAACTTCAAAAGAAAATAAAGTAAAAAAAAAAATGTGTCGTACCTGGTAAAGTCTGGTGGAACAGGAGTGGTAACAAAGGACGCCATGGGCTTTCGATGAACTTGCTGAAACATCATGAGGATCTCTGAGCTCTTAGAAATCAACTCACTCTTACTACAAGATCGCAACTGTTTGAGGAAAAGAACTGTCTGAATAAAAAAATTACTATGCATTGGCACCCCCAAAATCCTTAATAAAGAAGGAAAATGGAAATTATTCTGTTTATATACTGAAAAAACTGAGATAAAGAAAAATATTGGGTTGGCTAAAAGTTTCGTTCGGTTTTTTCTGTAAGCTGGCTGTAGCAGCACTTAGTTGTTTTTAACTTCATTCAAAAGTTTTGTTAGATTGTATGTGACAGCTGTCATATCAGGGTGCATTTAAAGAAAGACTTCTCAAAATTGGTGAATTTTTGTGTCGCCATTTTAACACTGAAGATGGAAGAAAAACAACATTTTTGGCATATTATGTTTTATTATTTCAAGAAAAGTAAAAACGCAACCAAAATGAAAAAAAAAGATTTGTGCAGCGAATGGAGAAGGTGTTGTGACTGACTGAACATGTCAAAAGTGGTTTGCAAAGTTTCGTGTTAGAGATTTCTCGCTGGACAATGCTCCACAGTCGGGTAGACAAGTTGAAGTTGATAGCGGTCAAATTGAGACATTAATTGAGAACAACTGACGTTATACCATGCGGGAGATAGCCTACATACTCAAAATATCCAAATCAAGTGTTGAAAATCCTTTGCAACAGCTTGGTTATGTTCATTGCTTTGATGTTTGGGTTCCACATAAGTTAAGTGAAAAAAACCTTCTTGACCGTATTTCCGCATGCGATTCTCTACTTAAAAGTAATGAAAATATTCCGTTTTTAAAACAAGTTATGACAGGGCTTCCCTGGAGGCGCAGTGGTTTAGAGTCCGCCTGCCGATGCAGGGAACACGGGTTTGTGCCCCGGTCCGGGAAGATCCCACATGCCGCGGAGCGGCTGGGCCCGTGAGCCATGGCCGCTGAGCCTGCGCGTCCAGAGCCTGTGCTCCGCAACGGGAGAGGCCACAACAGTGAGAGGCCCGTGTACCGCAAAAAACAAAAAAACAAATAAACAAAAAAAAAACAAGTTATAACAGGCGATGAAAAGTGGATACTGAACAATAATGTGGAACAGAACAGATCATGAGGCGAGCAAAATGAACCACCACCAATCACACCAAAGGCCGGTTTTCATCCAAAGAAGGTGATGTTGTGTATATGGTGGGACTGGCAGAGAGTCCTCTATTATGAGCTCCTTCCAGAAAACCAAACAATTAATTCCAACAAGTACTGCTCCCAATCAGACCACCTGAAAGCAGCACTCGACAAAAAGCGTCAACAGAAAACGCATAATATTCCATCAGGACAACGCAAGTCCGCATGTTTCTTTGATGACCAGGCAAAAACTGTTACAGCTTGACTGGGACGTTCCGATTCATCTGCTGTATTCAACAGACACTGCACCTTCAGATTTCCATGTATTTAGGTCTTTACAAAATTCTTTTAATGGAAAAAATTTCAATTCCCTGGAAAACTGCAAAAGGTACCTGGAACAGTTCTTTGCTCAAAAAGATAAAAAGTTTTCAGAAGACGGAATTATGAAATTGTCTGAAAAATGGCAGAAGGTAGTGGAACAAAAGAGTGAATACGTTGTTCAATAAAGTTCTAAGTGAAAATGAAAAATGTGTCTTTTATTTTTACTTAAAAACCGAAGGCACTTTTTTTTTTTTTTTTTTTTTCTTGCATTATGCGGGCCTCTCACTGTTGTGGCCTCTCCCATTTGCGGAGCACAGGCTCCGGACGCGCAGGCTCAGCGGCCACGGCTCACGGGCCCAGCCGCTCCGCGGCATGTGGGATCCTCCCGAAACGGGGCACGAACCCGCGTCTCCTGCAACGGCAGGCGGACTCTCAAGCACTGCGCCACCAGGGAAGCCCCGAAGGCACTTTTTGGCCAACACAATAGCTTCTTTCAAAGTGGGTTTGAAAGTTAAGAATCTATAAAGAATCTAGGTTTATTAATTTCCATTATAACAGTAAAGTTATTGAGTAAATGTATTTGATTTTAATGTATTTTTCTCTCCTTGTATATTAGCATAAATCCAATTCTAAGCAACTACAAATGTATTTTAGACTGGTACAGTGAAGCCATTATGTATATAAATGAACAAACCCCTAAAAGTCAACGACTTTCAAACAAGGATTTCTCAAATTGCACTCCAGGGAACAGAGAAATGTTACGACCTAACACACAGAAAAAAAAGTCTTAACCTCTATCAATCTAGGAAACATTAAGTTATACCAAAGGTAAAAAGTGAGAAATCCAACTTTAGCAAAATAAGCATGGTAGTTAAAAGACTGCTGATTTTTGTACTCAAGACAACCAGTTTGAAGTCCTAGTCCTGCCACACACCAATTATGTGGCTCAGAGTCTGTTAATGTGTAAAACTGGAATAATATCTACCGCTGCTCGCTTTGCTGGTTTGTTAGATCAAGCATGAAGCTGTATGTGAGACAGCTTTGTAAACTGCTATGGGCTGAATCGTGTCCCCACCGCAAACTCATTTGTTCCAGTCCCAACCACCAGTACCTCATAGTGTAACTATATTTGGAGATAAGCCCTTCAGAGGACAAAACGAGAAGGCAGCCATCTGCAAGACTGAGAGAGAGGTCTCAGGGAAAACCGAACTGCCAATACCTTGATCTTGGACTACCAGCCTCCAGAACACTGAGAAAACAAATTTCTGTTGTTTAAGCCTCTTAGTCTGTGGTGTTTTGTTACGGAAGCCCTAACAAACTAATACACTATCAAGTGCCACACAAATGATATTCATAAAACCCACTACAACTGGGTTTACGTCTTTTAAAAGATAGTTGCTTATAGCTCACCAAGAATAACTATATAACATAACTGGTATCATATGATAAATACCAAAATTTATAGCTTTCATTCAAATATTTATTGAATGCATACTATGTGTAACCCTCCTTGACCTTATTTCCTCCAAAGGTAGACTTTTATTTTTTTTATTTTTTTTATTTATTTTTTTTTCTTGCGTTATGCGGGCCTCTCACTGTTGTGGCCTCTCCCATTTGCGGAGCACAGGCTCCGGACGCGCAGGCTCAGTGGCCATGGCCCACGGGCCCAGCCGCTCCGCGGCATGTGGGATCTTCCCGAAACGGGGCACGAACCCGCGTCTCCTGCATCGGCAGGCGGACTCTCAAGCACTGCGCCACCAGGGAAGCCCCAAAGGTAGACTTTTAAATAGATACCTTTAATAAAGTTAAGGTAGTTCCTTTTACTCTTAGTTTGCTGAATAATTTGACCATGAATGAGGATCGAATATAACTGTTATTTTAAAAATTAATATTATTCTATTCATTTCTACTTATATGTTCATGTGGTTTTGCCCTTTAAACTCTTGAGTTACAATCAAGAGATTTTTCTGATAATGAAACATTCCTTTCATTCCTTTGATTAACCCTACCAAGTTTTGCTTTCTTGTTTTGTTTTAGTAAGTATCCTACTAATTTTGATTTGTCAGTATTTTAATATTATGGTATTTCTGTTTATAATACAGTTGGGCTTTAATTTCGTTTTCTTACAGTGTTCTTATGCTGACTAGTTATTAACATTACATCAATCTCAAAGACTGAGATGTTAGCTTTGGTACATTTTGTATTCTTTTAGGAAAAAAAAGTGCTTATGATAGATAACAGATATTTAAAGATATGGTAAAAATTTTCCATTAGTTTGGATCTGATGTTTTCCGATGTCTTTTGACTATATACTTCCAATATAATGTACATAATGTTTCTTAGTTTAAATTATATTCTTTCTTAAGTCATTTTTGGTAATTACAATTTCCTGCAAAATTATCTTCTTCATGTAGATTCTACCTGAATAAAGGTGCTCATTTTTGTAAAGCACATAGAATAGTGCCTGGTATATAGTAAATGCTATATCCATACTTACTTTGTAAAATATTTTTATTATTTAAATTTCTACTATATTTGTAGTCATGTCCCATTTTTCTTCCCAATATACTGTTGGACATTTTCTTCATTTTTCCTAATCAACCTTGTTAGAGTATCTTCTATTAAATTAATTTATTCAAAGATCCAATACTGGGTATGTTGATCCTCTCAACTATTTCATGGCACTCTCTTGTTATTTCATCACTACCTCTGTGATTTCCTTCCATTTTATCCTTCTATACCATTGTTCTTTTTCTGTCTTTTTTCACTTATTCATAATTTCTTAAACTTCATTTTAGACTAAAAGTTTCCTTCTAAATATCCTTTAGCTACATCTGACTATTTTAACAATTTATCATTTCAATGGCAATGTCCTCCTTCACTCAAGAACTATGTAGATATTTAACATATATTTAAATGCGTACTTACATACATATATGTAAATTTTTAAACTGTGTTTTTGCTTTTGATGTCTATCTTAATTATACTGTGGTCACAGAACATGTTGTTTATATAAATTTATTAAATTTCTTCAGTATTCTATATACCTTAGTATGTGACAAAATGTTGAAACTGTTCCATGTGGACTTAAAAAGAATATATATTCTTCAGTTTGGGATTCAGAATTCCACATATACCTTTTAAATAAAGTTCTCAATTTTCTTTTTCAAAGATCTTCTATTCTTACAATCTTTTGTTAGTTGGAACTACTAGTTTATCAGATTTAAATAAAATAAAATAATTTATTTTTAATCATTCACTACAGATAGTAATCTTATGAAAATCTTATAATTCTGTCAGCATATGCATTATATATAATGAATTTATGTTTTTGGAACACAAAATCATAACTGTCCTATCTTCCTAAGGTAGACTGTTCCCTTTTTATCACTCGTAATATTTTCACTTTAAATTTCTCATCATTCTCTAGATCTGTCTTAAGAAGTTCACCATGGGATTTTTAAAACTTCAACTTAACCCATTTACATTTATTTTTATTACTGATGTCAGTGTCATCCACTAATGACAATACACAAAATCCAAAAAAATACTCAACCTAAAAATATCCAAAAAAAAAAAAGGAACAAAGAGCAGGTAGAACAAACAGCAAGATATTAGACTCA